AATATTATCAAGTCTAATATCTAAAGTAGTTAGGCCGGTGTTTACATAAAGAACTTCAGCTAATGCTTTTCCACCCTCAGTATGAATTTGATTTCTATAAAGCTGTAAAGAAGTTAGAGTAACGTTTATACGAAGGGATTCTGCTAATGCCTTTCCTCCTTCAGTACCAATATTAGTTCTATCAAGATATAGAAAGGTTAGAGTGGTATTCTTGCAAAGAGCGTCTGCTAATATTTTTGCACCCCGAGAACCAAGCTGATTGTGTAAAATACGTAATGAAGTCAGCGTGATGCTTTTACTAATAACTTTCATTAATAAATTTATTCCAGGATCATAATGACTTTTACAAAGATTTAAATGTTTAAGCTTCTTATTTGTTCGTAGAAACATTATGGTCAAAGAATATTTGATAGCACTTGTACGCTCATTATCATATCTCTTATAATAACCTTCACAATTACACCAATTTTTTTCAAATCGATCTGATTGATAGTTTGAATTATAATTGACAAATGTAATGTAACTTGTGTATTCAAATAATGGTTTTGGATAATTTGGAAGGTTAATTTCAAAGGGGATTAATAATGCTTGTTCTTCAGCATTTAATGCAGAAAGACATGTTCTTATAAGGTTTCTATTTCTTAAATCAATGGTTACATCACTCCATAATATCGGTACAATAATTCTACACCAGTGACGGTTTACAAGAAGGCATGAAAGTAAGTCTTTGTAATTGGTCTGGAAATTATTAAATATCTTAATATAGCATTCAACAGGTAATAGTATCATTTTAACAAAATCAAGAATTTTCGTATAAAATGAAATTTTCAACTTTCGATATAACAAAGTGGGTTTTCAAATTTCATGCGTACAGGTACGTACGTACGTACGTACTGTACTTATGTGGATTTTACTTATTTGCGCAACAAATAAAAAAAAGGAAATCGAATTTTGTAAACAAACTAAGTGTGTAAAGATATAAATTTAGGGTTACGTAGGACGTTAACATTAGAGATTATAGCAATAAATTGTCATTCGTCATATTGTTCCCGACATTTTTAATTAGTGCATCAATGTCGATTTTGACACGAGTTTTTGCCTTTTTCTTCTGTGTTCGGAATAGTATTTGTGCTCTCTGATTGGCTATTCCCTTTTTAGGGTTTGTATTACCGCGATGTGCTCGTTATTATACGCAGCCCATTCAACCTGCGTGAGTGATGCAGGGGAATTAACTCTACAATCGGTTGATAATTCTACAATTGTAGAATTGATTATCAATACGTACGTAGTACGTATTTTTTTAAACAAACGCCACTTAACGTTAATAAGTTCTAATTGTTCTAATTCTGAAATTATATGTAATATGGGAAATCTAATTTGGACAGAAATAGATAACATTCATTTTTAAATGTATGATGTATAAACTTTATTTCATTTTCCGATAAATTTGAAATAATAACCTTTGTCGTTGAAGAGTTTACTTATTCGGTAATCGTTAAATAGGAGTCTCTAAACACTCCCATTTCATTTCCGATTTCAAAATGTTGATTAGTGATTTGACTCGGGTAGAGATTTTTTAGACAGGTCAAACCACTAATTTTAAACTTTCGAAATACGCCTCCTAATGATCAGTGTCACTTTTCACGTGTCCGGAAAATTCCCCTGCAGTATGGTGTTAAAGACTGAGGCAACTGTGTGATACTTTGTTTAAAACTTGCTTGTCGTAAAGAAATCGTATCGGTATTATTTAAGTGGATAACATCAATAGCATAATAGTCTAGAGTATCTAATGGTTCAAGTTCACTTGTCTCTTCTACAGTATCGAGTCGAATTATTTTAAAAGTATAAAGAACCCAGTGTTTCAAAGATGGGTTATGTGGAAGATTGGGATGTTTTAATATATCTAAATATACACTATAGTGGTTTCTATCCATTAAGCAACGATTATTTTTTCTCTTATTAAGTTTCTAGAATACAAAAATTTGTAATCTAGTGATTCCGTATTATTAATGACGAAAGAAAAATGAAAAATTTTTTATTTTTCTTATCGACAGTACATTGCAAATCGTTATCAAACATAAACTTTTATGAGGCATTAAATTTCCAATCGGTGGAGATTAGGGTGTCCAGGATTATGCTACTAGCATAATTTAGCATAATTCAATTTTGCTAGCATAATTATGCTAACAGCAGAATTTAGCATAATTTATATTTGCTAGCATAAAATCTAGCATAATTTGGGTATTTTGATAATAGAATATTATCAAAATTGCCAAACAATTAAAATCTATAAAAACTTTAACTTTAGCTATTATATATGTAATATACTTTGAATCAAATTACTGTAATTGTTAAATGATTACTTACTACTCCAAAATCTACAATTTTTTTTAATTACTGTACTTATTTTTTATAATGTTACATTTTCTACTAAACATTAATAGCATCTATTAGGTTTTCAGTTGCTAGCCAAACAATAAAAATTTTAATTTCTTTAATTTCTTTAACTAGACTTCCATAAATTTTGAATAAAAAAATCTTATTAATTTCCTGTTCATTTTAATAATTAAAGTTATTTTTGAATTTTATAAATTAATGGATTGGATTTACCTGCACTAAAACTAGTACATTATACTAATTTTAGACACTTTTTCAATGCAATTATCTAGTAATTTTAATAATTAATTATAATTTTAAATAACTTATTATTATTTTTTTTTGGTGTTAAGGTGACCTCTTTGGTCATGTTCCTTTATTCGATTATAGTTATAATTTTTACAGTATGATTTTCATATACCGTATACATATTTGGAGAATACAACTAGCCACACGTGCAACTTTTGGTTGTCTATTTTAAGTAGTCTGCTTATTACTAAGTTCTACACTAGATGGCATATCTATAACCCAACTAGGGGGTTATCTATTTAAACCCTCTGTGCCTATGTGATTACACTAATAACCGAGCGAGAATCCAATTCAAAAACTCTTAGTTTCGAATACTGACTTAGAACTTTAAAGCAGGCTCTTTACCCTCAAGAGCCTTTTATCCTCAGAGGTAAACCTGCTAGAGCCTTCCGTACCCACAATCCGGCTAACCTAGTCTTCGATTGATACGTACAGGCCAAGGCCTGCCACTTGCACCCCAGTTTCCATATCAAGTACTATGGCCTGGTTGCCGCTACACAACATACTTCTGCCCTTATAGAGTTTACTCAAACCCTGGTACACACATTACAAACCGTCTATGGTATCCTCAACTATCCCAAACTACCAATCCAGATAGTCCGGAAGGGCTGTGATCTGCCCTGGTCCCCACGGTTGGATCCTTTTCCTCCGGTTACTCCTCTGACAGCCTGGTTGGTGGAGTACCTTGCCAAACACTTCAGTCCCATTCAGTTTATTGGTTCCTCCGATAATGATCCTTTACATAGTACCATTAAAGATCTGTGCTACCTCTCTATTCGAGACTTGCTAAGCGAGTACTGCACCACCATATCAGCCCTGTGGCTTTCTGTGATCCAAAAATTATTTGTATAACTCATACATCATACAAAGGCCCCAAGATCTTCTAGTTCTGATAAATTAGTATAACCACAGTTACAGGGTCTTGAGCTTTTCCAGCCATGACGATACTTACCGAATCTATTTTTTGAAATTCAATTTTTCATCTTCAGTAGGAATTGAACTTGTACTCAACCGCTTGGGGGTGCGACAACTTCACCACTTCACTAAATCACCATACCCATTTTAAATAACTTATTATAATTTGTTAGATATTGAGTATTATATAAAAAAAGTTTAATAGTTATATGTTTTATTTTTGATTTTATATGATTTTTTAAAAAAAATTTACAATTTTTGATAAAAATTTTTTGTTATGACCCTAATTTAAAATTTTAATAGTAATTTTATAATAAAAATATCTTCAGAAATGTACTAAAGTTAGTACAGTCAATGTTACACAAAAATATAAGTGATTAAAATTTTTTTTTCTTAATAATTTTATTATTAATATAAAAAAAAATTTTGCTAAACAATTTTTGAATAAATATCAGATTTTTGTATATATAAAAAAATCAAGTTTTTAAATTTTTTAAATTTTTTATGAGTTTTTAAAAACGTACTAAAACTAGTACAAAAGGGTAAATCCAAACCATTAATAGAATTCTAAAATAGTCTTAAAAATATTTAAATTGACCAGATCATTATTGAGATCCCTTAAAGTTCGAAAACACAGATAATATATTTTAATAGAAATATCATATATCTTGCACTCTTAAAAACCCGATGTCTAGATTCAGTATGGTGTATATTTGCTAATTACAGTAATTTAAAAAATATACGTAGTAATTCAAAAAAAAATTTTTTTAAAAAAAAAACTGTTACATAAAAAGCATATTTTAATACAATTAGCAAGCATAATTTGGCATAATCAACAGCATAATTCTGGACACCCTAGTGGGGATTTACGTCAATTAGAATTTGACTCATAACATGAATTAACTTCTCCAAATTCTTCAATATTTTGTTTGTTTGAAGGTCGGGATGATCTCTGCTTAATACCAGCCCGTCTCAATGAAATTACTTTATTTATGGGGACCACATCCAGTAAAGGATAATCAGAAATTCCCAATGGTTCAAGTTCACTTGACGAATACCAGTTTTCTAGTGTTCCGAATTGGCAAGCAACTTGATACGAGTCACAGTTGGGCATTTTTTGGATGATCTTACAAGGTAAAGATCGACGGTCCATTTTTTGCTTATCAATATTCGGAATATAAATCTTCACCAATTCACCGGGTTTAAACATTCGGTCACGTTTGGTTCTATATTTTTGCTGCATTCTAGTTTGAATAAAATCGCGATTTCTTTGAATATTTAAAATAGATGAATGGTGAATCGTTTTACGCTGTTCAAATGTTGGACGAGTTATATTTTGATATATTACTTAATGGTACCATTGCTATCAATTATAATACACAAGTTATATATATATTATTTTATACCTTATGATCAGATTTATCAATATCAGAATATGCCCGCCATTTTTCTTTTTCTTGTGCAGCATAACGTTGATCTTCACCAGAATCGTTATCAGAATCATCAATAATGACAATTTCTTTACTAATAATTCGTGCTTCAGAATAATCTTGAATAAAATTATTCTGTATATTCACTTCATCTTCATCCTCATCCATATTGCTATACATTTCTTTATCCGTATCACTATTGAAATTTATATTCACTCTCTATAATCGATTAGTGCGTTGATTAATTTATTATAAAATTATACTTCAACAAACAAATATTAATAAATATTATTGAAATTTATACACACATCCTGTATTTTGATATAATCGATTAGTGCATTAATTAATTTATTCTAAAATTATATTTTAACAAATAAATATTAATAAGTATTATTAAAATTTATACTCACACTATTTATTTCTTCATCTGCATTATTATTCACATCACTATTGTCTTGCCGCATTTCTTCAGAATAAAATGGATCAATTTCAGGACTTTCTGCATCATTGTTCAATCCTGATTTAATGGTCGCTTGAGAATCAGTTTCAGAAACTAGAGATGGACTCGACTTTTCAGTTGGTGAATGGGAATAGTTATTGTTTTCAAACAAATTAGCCAAATTCGTATCATAATGTGGAGGTTTTCTAAATACTATTTCATAAGGAGTGGACTTATGCGCAATACTGTATTGGCTATTCATAGTCCCTAAAAAAATAAAATTTAAATTTTGTATATAAAATAAAAAAAAGACCTATATGCATAACATTAGGGATGTTAACAGCCTGGTCTGGTCCAGTCTGGTCTATTTTGGTCCAGGTCTGGTTTGGTCTATTATGATCTTCATTCTTAAGACTTTGTTAATCTTGGTTAATCCAGACCGGTCCAGACTGGTCCAGTCTTAAGACTTAGTGCAGATCAATTTTTTTCGGGTCTTAAGATTAACCGTGGTTTATTAGTCTAAGACCGGACCACATAACTTCCCTACATAACATAAAAATTTCGCAAGTATTAGATGTAATATGGTGCAAACTATCTAAAGCCATCCAAATTGCTACTCTTCAACGAATATTCCAAATTTTGCAAAAACAATACTTAGTTCAATAATTCTATATAATATCTATCAAGTATTTTTTTTTTTTTTACAAAATTTCAATGATTCGTTGAGTAGTAGTGTTTAAAAAAAACAAAGTTTAGAATGGCGTTATGTAGGTCTTTTGATAACTCTATGACGTATATTATGATATCATATTATTAGTAGCATTTTTCGATGGTTCGCACCATACCATTAAATACGTTACACATAAATTGCTTACAAATAACGAGCTTCAAACTGATATTCCAATCACTTCTATTGGTTTCCTCCATCCAGGCTCTCAATTTAGACTGGAGGATACCATTATCCATTTCGACTAATTCTTGGCAACGTAGATCTTGGGATAGCGCGTGATTTATTGGCCATAATTTTAAAGTTTCCTGAATAACCTTTTCAACGAACTCACTACCGTTACAAGAGTGGAGCATGGCAGGAGGGCCGTATAGTAAACAAAACTTAAATAAGCATACGGCAGCTTCCTTGGCAGTTTTAGATCTTGATGGTTCTGCATAAGAAAACCTTGAGAAATGATCTCTGATATGAAAAATATATTTATATATTCCGTCAGGTACCGACGTCATATCAATTGGATCAATCTACAAATAAATTGTTTTAATATCATAATTTATTATGATTTATTAAATGAGTGCCGCCAAGGGAAAACCTGAATCCGGAAAGTACAGGTTATTAATCATGATGATATTAACCTGTACTTTCCGGATTCAGGTTTTCCCTTGGCGGCACTCAAATAAAAAAAAATATATATATATATTAAATTCTTACTTGGACATGACTTAAAAAACCTTCTGTAACAATCGGACGAATTGGAAGAACTTTTATAAGGGACCGCCGGGCAATGCAAACTTTGCATTCACGGATTGCATTTTCAACTACTTGTTGTGGGATGTAACAGTATCTAACACGGATCTTAAATTAAATTAACAAATTTGAATTTATTATGAAATTTTTCGTTTATAAAAACATTAAAATATATAAAAACATTTAATATTTACCTGTCTCCATGTTTTGCTTTGACCCCCGTGTTCGGTCTTTTGATGTGCTGAGCAAATTATCTCATAAAAATTTTCAAGCGGACAAACCTGTGTCCCTAAATTTTTTTCAGATTTAATTAAATGAAGCTCTTCGACTGTACCGTTCTTAAGGACTTTAAAAGTGTGTGTAACCCAATATTTAAAAGTTGGGTTCCATGGAAGGGTTTTATTTTTTAATACATCCAAACATTTATTATAACAACTCCTATCCATTAAACAACGTTTATTTTTTCTTTTGTTAATGTAAGTTCCCAAGACTCGATCAAAAGTGTCGCGATCGAGAAAATTATATCGTTGCAGCTCCATGATGATTATTGAAAGTAAATTTTTTTTTATATTAATACGATAACGACGATGACGATAACAAGCCGTCAATTATTGAATCACTAAAAATTCTTTTTTTTTATATATTGTCGGGGATGATGCTGAAATCGGATGATGCTGTAATTTTGACTTATTTTATTATGAAAATGTAAAATTTTTTTGGGGTGTTTTGTTTAGCTTTTTTTTCATAGTTCGATT